TTTGATAAAATACTACTGCGCGTGTATAAGTCTCATTGAACCTAAATTTTGTTGCAAATGTCAAATATATCAGAAGATAATATCGTTTTTACAGACGAAATCTGAAATAGAATTCGAATCGACTTCTGTTTCTATAAGAAAACCGAATTGCAGTATTATAATATCAGAATCAAAATAGGAAGTAAATTTTGTTTCGTTAACGTATCAGAATCAATATAGGAAGTAAATTTTGTTTCGTTACATTATCGGAATCAAAATAGGAAGTGAATTTTGTTTCGTTACAGTATCAGAATCGAAACAGGAAGTAAATTTTGTTTCGTTACCGAATCAAAATCAAAATACATTAATAATTTCGTTTTGTTTTGGAATATCGTAACGAAATCAAAATTTGATTTCCGTGACGGTCCCTGTTAAAAATTATATCTCTAATGAAAGTTTACACATGGAATTCAATAATACATTCCATGCATTAGTTAGCTAATCCTCCTAAATGACAGATTTTATAATTACGGATTGTCTTATTTCTAACCACCGCCTCAGTGATGATGGAATAATAGCATTACACAATTGAACAACTTTCAGTGACGTAATTTCTAAGAGTATTATAATAAAAAAATTGATTAGCTCTGTTTCTTAACATTAAGCCAGTAAACTAATTTGGACAAGAAGAAATATTTTTGCTTTCATTTTAAGTTGACAATATACTGTTGCTAGAAATAAAATAGACTTATGCTTATTCTTAAATAGAAATTTCTATGCACTAAAAAAAGGTTCAATGAGAATACACTGTTTTGAAAAATAAACAATTGTTTACTAGAAAAATTTTGGTATGTTTAACAAGAAGTAGTAGTAAGGGTGAGAGTGGGGCAAGAATAGTCAGATAAGAAATATTTCATCTAGCAGATAAACTTTAGCAGTTTTTTTTAATATTTGCAAAAAACATTTTTTGGAAAATTTTAAAGTGAGAAAAAGACAATTAAATCTAATGAATAAGATTCAAAGACTAATGATTGTTTCAAGTGTTTGCACAACGCATGCGGAACTACATTTTTGAAGAATGTGACTTTTGAGTTTCTAAAGTCAGAAAACGTATAAAAGAAAGTGAACAAATTGAATTGAAAAATTACGGCGAAATAATGCTTCCATGATGTCAAGAAAAGCAAAAAGTTTCTTCTTCGAAATTTTATAAACATCTTCCGAGATGGTATAGTTTGTATTATGATGGCTTTAACGAATAGCTATGTTTTACCATTAACTTAAATGTTATGGTTTACTTATTATAACGAATTCTTCAAATGCGGTAGTTTTCCACCCAGTCGACGAAGTTAGAAAATTGTTTTTAGAGGGAAATTTTTTTGAATATTTCCTTATAGAAATTGTGTTTAATAACCAGACTCGGAGTGATCTTTACATTCTACTCTTTTATTATAATATTGCCGAGTGTAAAATTCGAACATCATTAAAATATATTAAGTTATAGAATATAAGTAAACAAAAAAGTAATTAATTTGTGCTAAAATGTTTTACAAAATAAGTGAAAATATTGCGAGAAACGTGATGAAAGACGTTCTTACCGTTGTGTTCAAGCTGATGTTTGCAGACAAGGTTATGCAGCACGTGTTGTTATTGTCAATATATGTGTTAACTGTATATGACTATTATACATATTTAAATTACACGGAGAAATTTTTTCTTCTAACATTAAATAAAAAGTTATCTTTATTCTAAATAGAGAATTATTAAAATAATATTTCTCATTTAAAAATGTTATGAACCATTGATATTCATCCATCAAAAAAAAAAAAAAAAAATTTTAAAAACGATGGTAAATTCTTGTAGCGAAACAAATTCCTTTGAATCAGGATGTGTTTCTCCAACTGTCAGTCTTCAGTTTGATCTCCAATTTTGAAACGATTTCAAATAATTATTTTGAAAATGATAGATCTACAATATTAATTTTTAACTATTTTTATAATAAAATAAACATTTTTGTTCAAGTATAGGTTCAAAATTTTCACTTTTTCCCTGACTTCTTTTTTAAATATACTATATTTAATCATTATTATTTTTCTATATAGGAATTAAGATTCTCAAATTCAATAACTTATAATAAATTTAAGATGACAGAGTAATAAAATAATTATTTTATTTCATAAGAATATTATACCTAACTATAAATTCAAATTCTCAAAGATTTTAATTTTAACCCTTTTCAAAATTCAATTATTTCTAAAAATTCACGCTATGTTTTTAATATTCAATTATAATTTAAAATTTTAAGTAAAATCCATTTTTTAATCATTTTTAATTAGAAAATTTCCCGAGAATTCAATTATTTAAATAGGTACAAAAATAAATAATTTATTCAGTAATGGCATATTATTTAAAATTTAATTTTTATGAAGAATTTTATCAAAATTTTTAATAATAATTGAATTTTTTCGGCGAATTTAAAAAAAAATTGTAAGAATAAATGCAATTTTCTATCATTTTATTTAAAATTTTATAAAAATAATTGAAATTCTGCGATAAGTTTTGTTATTTATGAAAATAATTGAATTCTTGCAACGAATTTTATTAAAAATCTTTTTAAAGAATTGAATTCCTGTGAAGAATTTTATTTGTGAAAATAATTGAATTCTAGAGAAAAATATTATTATTTGAAAATAAATTATTTTTTAGTGAAGAATTTTATTCAAATTTTTTTAAATAATTGAATCACGGGCATTGAGTCCTTTACAAAATATGTTGTATTTGACAAAAATAATTGTATTTTATGACAGATTTTATTATAATTTTTCAAATCTATAAAGCATTTTATCAAAATTTTTAAAAATAATTGAATTCTCAAGAAAGAAAATAATTGATTTCTAAGGAAGAATTTTATTCAAATTCTTTTAAATAATTGATTTCCCATAAAAAATTTATTTGTGAAAATAATTAAATTCTTAAGAAGAAATGTTTTGAAAACAATTGAATTGTATAGGAAAATGTTATTAACATGGCAATTTAATGAACTATATCTTGTAAAGAATGTTGTCAACATTTTTTTAAATATTAGAATTATTATAGAATTTTATTTAAAGTTTTCGAAATAATTTAATTTCTCAGACTATTTTTTTCAATTCTCTTTATATATTTGAATTCTTTCGAGAAACTTCATTAAAAAATTTGAAATAATTGAATTGATGCGAAGAAATTTATAAAAAAAATTGGTAAGTAATTGAATTCCTGTTAAATTTTTATTAAAATTTTGTTTAAATAATAGAATTATTTTTGAAAATTTTATTAAAATAGTAGATATTAAAAATAATTGAAATGAGGAAAATTTTTGAAAATAATTGAGATTTTGACAAGAATTTCATTAAATTTTTTGAAAATAATTGAATTTTTGAGAAGAATTTTATTATTTATAAAGATAATTGAAATCTTGACGAGAATTTAAAAAAATTTTTTGAACATAATTGAATTTATGCGAAGTTATTTAAAAAGAAATTATTGTCAAAAATAGAAAAAATTGAAGGATTTATATTAAAGTTTTTGTCAATTTCATAGTTTATAAGGCAAACAAAAAAAATTGGCAAACCAAAATTCAGAATTTTTCTATAAATTCTAAAAATTAAATTTTTTTTTTAGTACTTTTAATAAAAATCCCTGACTTTTCCCTAAATTCCTTGACTTCCCTGACTTGTGGCAACCCTGTTACACATATAAATGTCCTGAAAAAAAAGAAATATGTCTTGAAAATGTCCTGGAATTTTAAGTCATATTTTCAGTAGACACCCTGTCAATGAGCATTATGACAATAAGGAATTATATGCCAAACCACACTTATGCTAAAAGAAAAATTATAACAAATGTGAGTTTTATCAAATTCTTTTATGTGAAATAATAAAATTATGACATTTGCATTTAGGGGAAATTGCAGGCGAGTCTGAAAATCGTTCAATATAGCAATTAATATTTTACTTATGTAAGACTCTTAAATCATGCTTTAGCCAAATCAAAGGAAATATAGGTTCAAACACGCGAGGTCAGATATCTTGGATACTGAATCTTCATAGTGGCATTGGGACAAGTTTGACCTTCATTCGAAACTAAAGAAGTCCGCCCACTTTCTCTTTGTGGCACGACAAATACATTGGCTAGAACTTCGTTGACCGTATCAGGGCCCTCTTATTGTCAGTGATAATATCAAGGAAGTTTTTCCTGATATGCGATAACTGAAGAAATCTTAAATATTGATTCAAGATGTTTAGACTTCTGAATTTTATTTACGTAACACTGATGTTCAATATTTAATTCTTTTATCAAATTATTTCTTATTTAATTCTTTTTTCTTCTTCTTTTTTAAAAAAAATGTTTTTCGATATTATTAAATATTAATTGTAACCAAAAGTCTATTGCCATTAACAATCACTGTCAAAAATTGCACAAAATTTGAAATATTCGAACTGTAATTTTAAAAATTTTTTTAACTGAATATGGCTTTGTAACCAGGGACTCCAAAAATTTCTAAATAATCATTTCGATGAGCAAATTGTTGATCCAATTAAGAAATTCAAACCCTTTTTGAGAACCCTATATGCCCGCAATTTAAACCCAGATTTTTTCGTAAATTATAATTTATTCGTTTCTGAGAAAGGTGTTTTTTATTAATTATTTTAAATGTAAATTATTCTTTTATTACTTTTACTTTGTATTAGGGGAGGAAATGAAAAAAGATGTTTAATTTTTTATAAAAAAAAAAGTTTTATGTCTTCTTACCCAACATTCTGGTTGAGCCAACTAAATATTTTTGTTATTGTACTAACAAATAACATTTGCTTGGACTAAACATTTTTCTCAGTGTATTTTTGAAGTCAATTCTGAAAGGGTTTTGGATGGCTTTTAATATTATTATGGGGTCATCAAAAATTTTTCTAATATTGAAGGCCATGAAACTTGCAATACAATAATAAGAGTTGTGAAATTATTTCCAAAACTTGTTTGTTTGACAGATTCTACTGACATTGTGGACTGTAAACTAAAATTGATTCTGGGCCTAATATGGACTCTCATTCTTCACTACTCGATATCGATGCCAATGTGGGATGGAGAAGATATGGAAAGTCCAGACAAGGGTGCTACACCCAAGCAAAGACTAATGAACTGGATCCGATCAAAAGTTCCAAACATGCCGATTGGAAATTTCACATCAGATTGGAACGATGGTCGTGCTGTCGGTGCCTTGGTTGATGCTGTTGCGCCAGGTTTATGCCCTGATTGGCAGGATTGGAATCCCAATGATGCGATGCAGAATGCTTCGGAGGCTATGGGTCTTGCTGACGATTGGTTGAACATACCTCAGGTATATTATATTCTCTTCTTATTATTTATAGTCCCAGAAAAACTTGTTATTGCTTTTTTCAATTATTAAATAAATAAAAAAGAAACCCATAATAGTAATCCATGTTTTTTTCTTTTTTCGACGAATTTGAGAAAAATGTGTATTAAAAAGATTTAAAAACAAATTTTTTATTATCTTCTTGCAACAAAGGCGTATTATGGTCACTCTATGCTACCTGTGCTGGTACAAGCTAAGTTTTTCCATATAACCCAGCTGGTCAATAAAGTGTCCATTATTGCTCTAGGGTAATAATGAGTACTTTATTGACCTAGGTTAATAATGAGTACTTTATTGACCTAGGTTAATAATGGGTACTTTATTGTCCTAGGGCAATAATAGGCACTTATTGACAGCTAGGTTATAAGGGGGAACTCACTATACGCCTGTATAGGTAGATAAAGTGATCATAATACGCTTGAGTTGCATAAGATAATTTTCGCAATAACTATAACACATTGTTTACAGTAAGAATTTGAAAAAGTATTTTTCACCAATTCTGCACCCTTATTTACATTATGAATGTTTATTCTTAGATAAATATAGTATTTTTCTTTGATTTTTTAATGCAGCTCATAAAACCAGAGGAGATGGTCAATCCAAATATCGACGAAATGTCAATGATGACATACCTCTCGCAGTATCCAAATGCAAAATTGAAACCTGGAGCGCCACTAAGACCTCGCACAAATCCAAACAGGTATGTTGTTAGATTCAGTGATTATTTTTATATTTGAGGCTCCGGATCTTAAAAGGGCACTTTTACCATTTAAAATCAATGCTGCAAGTGCCCTTTTAAGATCCGGAGCCTCATTTGCATTTAGCAACTATCAATGCATATATGATGTTCCGTGACAAAAAGCTCTTAAAAACTTTATATTATTTTAAGAGATAGTTTTTTCTCAACAAATAGTCCGTTTTTAATTAAAATAAAAATGGTTTTTTAAAAATATTTTTTATCCAGTAAACATTGGATTATAAATTTTTTTATAAAGACTTAATCCTGTTTGTCACTCTAAAAATTTTATTTCAATCTAAAAACGAAAGGCATAATGTAAAATTATTTAGTGCTAGATACCTTCTGTCGTAGAGCGTCACATATGCTGTAGAAAAATTTTGAATTTTCTATTAAGATCATGTTATTCAGAGTGATTCGCATATACGTATTCGCATATACGTGACAACTGATTAACATGCCCTTAACTTAAACTTTAAATATCAGAATTGATGTTTCTGCCAAGAAATTTAATATTTTGAAACATTTAAATTCGCCCTTAAAACATATAACATAATACACCAAAAAACAACTAATATTTGGTCCAACAGATTTGGATTCAGCTATTCCGAAAACATAGTAAGGGGTTAAGAATATTTCTGTGCTCACTAGGTAGCCTATTTCAGAATTGTTATTTTCATTTGTGACGTAGAAATTAACTGATGAATCGAATTAATATATTTAAATATTCAACCCGAAACATTTGCATCGAATCCCGTCCAAGAACACACTCTGCTACTCGCAACTCCACAGCTTCCGCAAAACACAAAATCTCATCGGGGAATTCTTCCAAGACGATGCCGTGATGCAAACCGGTCAACTGAACAACGAACAACCAACGAACTATTCAAACTCGACCGTTGAGACGCTACCAATTTTCTCTACTCTTTGGCACTCTCCTCCGGTCCACAATGAACGCAAAACACATTAAAACACAGAATTAACAAACAATAACTATTTATTAATAAAACTCGAAATAATTAACAACTACAAAATTAATAAATCATATTTTCAACTATAACTCTCGACTCTGACACTCGTCAAAACCACGTCACGACTTCTCGGAAACCCGCAAGTAAGTGTCGAACCATCTGATTGTCCCCAAAAGCTTTCCCGCTATCGAAATCGTTTCCTTGTTTTTCCTTCGCAATTTTCGGAAGAACCCTTCTTCTTATCCCCACGGAACGGCACCTAGAAGAAACCTGGAAAGGGTCGCTGACCATGTGACGTACGCTGACAGTTAATCATGCGCAAAATCATTTAAATTCTGATTTCACGAAAACCACAGCTCCTCACACGCTGATACGAAAGGAATATACAAGAGACTTGACAACAAACGAGACAGACCTCTGATAAGAAAGAGACAAACAAACGATTCTCTAAACTCTGAAAATACCTTTTCTACACATTGTAAATTAGGCCGAGTAAGTAACGAAACACTTCGTTACACATTTACGAACTTAATGGAATGAGCACCATTTAAAAAATATTATTAATAAGTTTCTAATGTCACTTTTACTAATAATAACTAATCTAAAAATTTTTTAAATAATAATTATAAAATTTGTTTCCATTTCTCGGTTGCAGCATTCCCCCACCTCGGTAAGTCGCGTAGATTCATTTTTGACAATGACTTTTTGTGGATTAATTTTTGACTATTGAATAGCTATTTCTTTTTAAATATTATTTTCGCTCCAAATTTTTAAGGCTAAGATATACTCTTTAAATTTAAATAAGTAAAAATGTTTACTTTTTGCTTTTGATTGAATAAACTTTACTATAATAAATAGTAGTTTCAACTAACTTATTAATAAAATTTACTGATTCAAAAGCAAAAAGTCAGTCGCTAATTCAAATTAGTAAACATCTTTACTAATTTAAATTTGGAGAGTAATTTATGATTTTGTTTTATTGCAATTAATAAATAAAACTGTATGGAGTTATGTTATATCCTTTTAGAGATCTATTATTTTTTTTTTGCATTTTAAAATTTTCCAATAAACGTTTTTTTAAAAAATTGTTAATATTAAAAAAAAACGTTGACGATCTCTTTGAGACGCACTTTTAACCCTTTATAGAAAGTTATTAGTATTTTAAAAATAGGAAAATTCGACAAAAAGCTACGTTTTGGAGATTTTTGGTAATAAATATTTTAATAATGTATGACAATAACGCAATTTATAATAAATAATCTAGAAATAAAAATATTCATAAAGAAGCAAAGTATGTTCCCGAAATAAACACATTGAAATTTGAGCTTTAATCTTTGCAGCAGTTTTTTTTTTGTATGTTGGGTAAATTTTTTAATTTCTATATTATTCTGTAATCTAATGCTATGTGTATTGCTTATAACCGATTGGCATTTAAATTTATTTTCGTATATTTAAGGTATTAAGTATCAGTAAATACTATAATTAATTATTTGTTTATTTAGAGTTCGCGCTTATGGACCAGGAATAGAACCTACCGGTCCAATAATTGGAGCACCAGCTAATTTCACTGTTGAAACATTTTCTGCGGGCAAAGGAAAAGTTGACGTCTTCGTTGAAGATCCTAAAGGCGAAAAGTTGCCGGTATTTTATACATTTTTTATCGTGAATTTAAACAATAAGCGCAGACAATATTCAGGGAATTTTTATAAACCTTGAAAAAACCTGGAGAAGTCAGGGAATTTTGATTGGAATCCTGGAAAATTATTGTTTTCAAAAGTTATTGTGCTTATTCTTGAAATTTAATTTTTCTTTAATTCAATTTTCTTAATTCAAATTTCTTAATTCAATTTTAAAAGAGTTGCCTTTAAAATTTTTCTTCGCAATAATTCAATTATTTTCATAAATAATCAAATTTTATACAGAAATTCAATTATTTTCATAAATAATAAAACTCATCGCAAAATTTCAATTATTTTTAATACAATTTTAATGGAATTTATCTTCAAAATTTCAATTATCTTTATAAATATTAACGTTTTTCTCCAAAATTAAATTATTTTCAAAAATTTTAATGAAATTCTTTTTAAAAAATTCAATTTTTTTTTCAAAAATTCTCCTCCAGTCAATGATTTTCAATATCTACTATTTTAATAAAATTTTCCAAAAGAAATGAGTTATTTTAAATTTTTTTAATAAATTTCTTCGCAATAATTCTATTATTTTCAAAAATATTCAATTTATGTTTACAGAGATTCAATTTTTATATATATATATATGTAATACAATTTTTTACAGGGATTCAATTATTATTTTCATAGATAATAAAACTCATTGCAGAATTTCAATTATTTTTGATACAATTTTAATCGAATTCCTCGAAAAATGTAATTATACTTAAAATTTTATTAAAATTCGTCAAAAGAATTCAATTATTTAAAAATTTGTTAATTTTTTTTTATGAGAATTCAATTTTGAGAAACATTCAATTATTCAATAAATTATTTATTTTTGTATTAAAAATAATTAGGTATTTAAAAAAAAAATATTATTAAAAAATTCTTCTCAAGAATTCAATTATTTTCAAAAGTAATAAAATTCTTAGCAGAAATTCAATTATGGTCAAAAGTTTAATAAAAGTTATAGTCAAAATTCCAATTATTTTTATAAATATTAAAATTTTTCTCTAAAATTTAATTATTTTCAAAGATTTTAATAAAATTCTTGGCAATATTTCAATTATTTAAAAAAATATTAATAAAATTCTTGACAAAATTTCAATTATTTTCAAAAACTTTTCTCAATTCAATGAAATTTTTTACAGAGATTCAATTATTTTTAATACATTTTTAATCTAATTTTCAATTATTTTTATAAATATTAAAATTTTTCTCTAAAATTTAATTATTTTCAGAAATTTTAATAAAATTCTTGGCAATATTTCAATTATTTAAAAAAATTTTAATAAAATTCTTGACAAAATTTTTAATTATTTTCAAGAACTTTTCTCAATTCAATGAAATTTTTTTACAGAGATTCAATTATTTTTAATACATTTTTAATCTAATTTCTTGAAAAATGAAATTGTTCTTAAAAATTTTATTGAAATTTCACAAAAGAATTTTAATTACCTATTTAAAAATTTGTTGATAAAATTCTTTAAATGAGAGATGAATTTTAAAAAACTTTCAATTCTACAATAATTTTTTTTTTGTATTTAAATAATTGAATTGTCGTAGAATTTTCTAATAATAATTGATTCAAATATGAATTTCAGTTAAAACTTTAAATAACAATTGAGTTTTGAAAAGCAGGTCTCAAATTATAATCTTTTAATGTTTGAATTTTTTATACTTTTAACTTAAAATTGTGTAGATTTAATTTTTTTGTAAAAGTTGAATTGAATTTTTTTGGAGTTATTTAAAGTTTTTATTTTCTAATATATATTTGATTGAAGAATTTCCGAATACCTGAATAATCGATGAAATTTCGTAAAATTGAATTGTAAACAAAAGGATTTGAAAATGTTGAAAGAAATTTTTCAGAAATTATTAATAATAATTAATTTAAACTTTATAAAGAAGAATTTTAGTTAAAAATTGAGGAAAACAATAATTGAATTAAAATAATGAAAGTAATTTTGAATAAGTTAGAGTAACAATATTCTTATGGATATAAAGTGATGATTTTATCAGTCCAACATTTTTAATTATTATAAAACATGAAGAAATCGATTGCTCCTAGTCGAAGACTCGGAGTGATCGATATTTTCATGTTTTATAACAATTTTTTATAAGTTGTTTAATTTCAAAAAGGTTAGAATTAAAATTTTGTAAAATATAAATGTAGTTTTAAAAACCTGGAAAAATTGCGTTTTTTAACCTGGAAAACCTGGAAAAGTCAGGGAATTTGAAATGAGCAAAAGCGTGGCAATCCTGATATTATTGTCTGCTTTACCCTCTCAATAATTATTTTGACATATATTTAATTATTAACTTTTAGGTAAATATCAGATTCAATCAAGACAGAAATCTTACATATTCTGTTTCCTACACACCAAAAGTTGAAGGACCACACAAAGTGAAAGTTCTCTTTGCCGGAAGGGAGATTCCAAAAAGTCCGTACACTGTACTTGTCGAAGGACATGCAGGAGATCCTACTAAAGTAACAGCTAGTGGTCCTGGCCTTCAACCTGTTGGAAATGTTATAAACAGACCTACATTCTTTGACATATTCACCAAGGATGCTGGTAGAGGTGTTCCAGAAGTCATTGTTCTCGATCCGCTGGTATTTCAATTTGCTCATTACTTTCGTGAGTCGTTCAAATAACGAAGTTTCTTCACTACATCTATTTCTATAAATAATGTTTTAAAGACTTGTATATTTATTTCGTGAAAGAAAAAAATTATAAGAAAAGTTTTTATATTCATCCTTTTTTTTAGAAAAACATCATTCCGTCAAAATTACGACAAACATCACCAAACGTCTGGAGGTGTGAATACGTTTCTCCCGTTCTTGGCCTTCACTCTGTTAATGTCTTTTTTGCCGGTAAACTTATTCCTGAAAGTCCGATGGGAGTTAATATGGCCCCCGTCTCCGATGCAAAGAAGTGCAGAGCTTATGGTCGAGGACTTTTGCCTAACGGAGTACGTGTTAAAGATGACGCAGATTTCACTATTATAACAAAAGACGCCGGGGATGGAGAACCCGAAGTTCGAGTGATTGGTCCCGGTGGTGTTAATCTACCTGCACAGTGAGTATTGTCAAAATAATTTACTTTTTATCCATTGGTAAGGCAATGTTTGAAAGCATATATTCGAATAACTTTAAAATCGCTAAAAATTTGAACCACCCAATTGTACAACTCGATCTGTAGAATATTGGTCACATTCATAAACGTGTTTATGTGACATTACAACTGTTTAAATTTAATAGAAAAGCTCTTCCAGTGAATTTAAAAATCCAACTAGTTTCTTCACCCATAATACCTCACTTTGATTACTGATGTGCTGTAGGCGCAAAAATCTAGTAAATAAGATACATAATTTGTAAGACATTTCCATAAGGACACTTGTAATGTTAGTACTAAGGCAAAAGTCGAATGTATAAATGAATAAGTAATTGCAAAAATTGAAGTATTAATTAAGTTATTGAAATGACTTTAGGCTAACAAAAGTGGATGCTACGACGTACAATTGCGTTTACAATCCTGTGAAGGAAGGACGTCATGTAGTAATGGTAACCTATGGAGGAAAAGAAATTCGAAAGTCACCATTTGAAGTAAATGTCGGACCATACAAAGAATCAAATATCAGAGTTTTTGGACCCGGATTGACTGGAGGTGTAGTTGGATATCCAGCGAAATTTGTAGTCGATACAAATGGAGAGACTGGAGCTCTCGGATTCTCTATTGAGGGTCCGTCCAAGGCTAAAATCGATTGTTTTGACAATGGCGATGGCACAGCAGACGTCACTTATTATCCAACTGCTGTAGGCCCTTATGCAATTCATATTCTCTGTGATTCAGAAGAAATTCCCAAGTCTCCCTATATTGCCAACATTATCCCGAAAGCTGACTACGAACCGGATAAGGTTTGTTCCACATATTTATAACTTAAGTTACTTGTATACCTCCTAATATCAAGTATATTTCTGTCTTGTGTCTTCTTTTTCTTTAAAAAAAATGTAAACCACTGATTTCTTGTAATTAGGTTGATGTTCATGGACCTGGAATACAACCGGAAGGAGTTTCGTCAAATAAACCAACTCACTTCACAATTGACACTAAAAAAGCTGGTAAAGCTCCTCTTGATGTTAAAATTCGAGATGGCCTGGGACGCGATGTTCCAATCAAAATTGATGATAAACGAGATGGTACTTATCAGTGTCATTATACACCGACTTCAGGTTCTCAGCATGTTGTCATGGTACGACAGAAATCTATTAAATCCAATTTAAAATATTCAATGTCAAATTCGGATTCTACTGCCAAAATTTTATAAGAATCGGTTGTAACATTTTAGTCAATAAAGTCTTGTGTTATTATTGTTAATATAATTTAAAAATTCTCTACAGGTGAGTTATGGAGGAGTTGCTGTTAAGAAATCTCCATACAGAGTAAAAGTGGCAGCTCCACTTAATCCTGCCTTAGTAACAGCTTCTGGTCCAGGATTGGAGAAAAATGTAAAATCTAATACGCCTATACATTTCAATGTTAATTGTCGCGAAGCGGGACCTGGAGATTTAGAGGTCACTGTGAAAAATCCGGAAGGACGAGATCTTCCTATTTCTTTAACTGATAACGAGGATGGAACTTATACCGTTGATTATTGTCCACCTACACCCGGACCTTACACTGTGAATTTAAATTATGGAGGACTGAAAGTTCCGAGTAGTCCATATAAAGTTAACGTTCAGCCAGCATTAGACGTCTCCAAAGTTAAAGTAGATGGACTTTCTCCAAGTAAGTTTCTTCTTTTACTAATCATTATATCCAATCAATTTTATGAAAATAAAAATGAACTTAATGAAAAATTATAATTAGGGTAATCAATTCGAAGAGATTTCTCTTCGCCTATTACTTTGAATATAATTCTCGTCCGTTTTTTATTTTTTCATAATCATATTCAAAAGTATACTTTTTCTTTGCAGATCTTAATGTGAATCAACCAACAGAATTTACAATTGACACACGAGCTGTCCCAAAAGTGAAAAACGAAGACGTACCAATTTCTTGTTCTATCAATAATCCAACTGGTGGAGTACTTGAAAAAGTGATTACGCCTCAAAATGACGGAACGTATAAAGTTGAATATACGCCTTTCGTAGAAGGACCGCACACAATAGATGTTCTTTGTAATAATATTCCCGTTCCTGGATCTCCATTTCCAGTAAGCGTCAAGAAAACAAGTGATGCAGGACGGTGTCGTGCTTTCGGACCTGGACTCCAAAAGGGTGTGGTTAACAAACCAAATCACTTTACTGTTGAAACAAAAGGTTCGTTTTCATTGTATTTTAATTTATTTAAGCGTTTTAAACTTTTAATTTCGTATTAGAAATTTAGAATACAATTTTTTGTTAATGCTTCTAAGGAACATTAAAATTTAGTGAAAAGACTATTCTTTCTCAAGATTTACGAAACATATGACAATGATCAATAAATTTAAAATCGAACTTAACTCTTTTCTATTAGGCCGTAAATGATCTTTTATCAAGAATTTTGTAACACTAAATTAAAAAAAACAAGACATTGAAATTCGTAGTCAAGGAGATAAACGTTGATAATAAATTAATACAATATATTTATCTTCTGATTATCAAGCTTATAAATTACATGAATCTTCAATATTTCATAAAATAGATGTTCACCCTGATTACGCTTGTGTTTAGTTTAAAATCGATAATTTACGTGTAAGTCGATTAAATTGATAGCATGGCAGGTTTAAAGCATAAGAAACTTATGATTATTGAAGGAAATTATAAAGCTTCAAAACTTAGAAAAGAGTATTTGAAAAAATTCCTGTAGAATATGGTGTAGTCACTGTTTTTGATTGGAGATGTAGGTAATAGTGTCAAATTTGAATAGTGGGAGACAAAGAAAATATTTTCTCTTTCTTTATAAAAAAAACTCTTAAGATAAGCAGTTATGAGAAATTATGAGATTCTTTGTTTTTATGGTTTATGCAACAGCGAGAAAAAAGAGCTACTATTTATGAACCAATTTTACAAGCGAAAGTAATTACACTTAGATCTGTTTTTCCTAATTTTGCTGAAGATTTTACAGAAAGAAGTGTTTGGCTTAGCAGATGGAAAAGAGGACATATACTTGAACTAAACATTGTGGAGAAAAATTATCTGATAACAATTCGCTTCTGTCAGATTTTAAGGCAGAAGTTGATAAAAGAATTAAGGATAGAGATTACAGACTTAAAAAGATTTACAATTGTGATGAGATTATTTTAAATTATAAAATGTTACCAGCTGAAACTTTCATGTGGTGACAAGAAGAATCTACTCTGGGAGATAAACGAAGAAGAGAATCATTTTTATGGCATTCAGTTATGCTTCTGGTAGCCATAAACTGACACTTATGATTATTGGAAACCTGCCAAACCTAGAGCTTTCAAAAACCCACACAGTACTTTAACATGCAGCTATTTTGCGTTATATGGAAATACTTCGAAATCAGTAAAGCCACTTCATTACAAACATCTTAAAATTGCGTGGATAAATGGTGAACGTTTCATTTTTAAATGATCAGAATACAAGTAAATACAAAAATGATACACGGGACAAATTCCTTTTTATATTGAATTCCTCCAATTGAATTCCGTGGCTTGGGTTAAGAACAATTAAAAAGTCTGCCCATGAGGATTCTGTTGTGACGAAGAGATTACTGATGAATCAGATTAATATATTTAAATATTCAATCCGAAACATTTGCATCGAATCCCGTCCAAGAAACACTCTGCTACTCGCAACTACAGCTTCCTCAAAAAACACAAAATCTCATCGGGGAATTCTTCCAAGACGATGCCGTGATGCAAACCGGTCAACTTGACAACGAACAACCAAACGAACTTTTCAAACACGACCGTTGAGACGCTACCAATATTCTCTACGCTTTAGCACTCTCCTCCGGTCCACAATGAACGCAAAACACATTAAAACACAGAATTAACGCAAACAACTATTTATTAATAAAACTCAAAACTCGAAATAATTAATAAATTACAAAATAAGAAATCAAACTCTCAAATATCTCTCGATTCTAACACTTGTCAAAAACCGCGTCACGACTTCTCGGAAACCCGCAAGTAAATGTCGACCCATCTGATTGTTCCCAGTAGGCTTTCCCGCTATCAAAATCGTTTCCTTGTTTTTGCTTCGCAATTTTCGGAAGAACCCTTCTTCCATATTCCCACAGAACGGCACCTGAAAGAGACTAGGAAAGGGTCGCTGACCATGTGATGTACACTGACAATTAATCATGCGCAAAATCATTTAAATTCTGATTTCACGAAAACCACAGCTCCTCACACGTCAAATTAATCACAATTGCAATTTTCTTAAAAAATAAATTAACGGGCGTACTTTCGACCGTATATAAAGAAAAATAGTATACATTACACGGGCAGAAATTTCGAAGCCCTTCACAGTGCGATGATGCTCTCGTCTTCGCCTCGGACATCATTTCGCAGAGTGCCGGAATTCGAACTTTCTGCCCTTATAATGTAATATACTATTATCTCATTGCCATATAAAAATCTCTAAGGAAGAAAAATTTTTCGTTTGTAAATCTTATTAAGTTTTGGTATTTGGTATTTTTTACAGACCGATTTAGATAGTTAACAAATATTTATGTTTATTTTTTATCTATTTGTTTATACACCCGTCTTACGCTTATCTAGCTATACAAGTGTTTAAACCCCAGTAGCACGTAATATTACAGTAACATTGATAACACTGCCTTAACATTACCAATATTGCCTCAATGTTGCTGGAATGTTCCCAATATTACGTGCTACTGGGGAATATAAATTCTTTTACAATATGCACATCATTATATCTCGATGTCAAACTTCCCACTCAGATTATCTCACGTGCCGGGAAAATTCTAGGCTAAAGGGCGCGAACCAAGTACCCTTGGTCCTTCAGCGTCCGCCGAGCGAGGCACTTATCCGACCGAACTAATCTGGCGGTTAAATATTTATGTTGGGTTAATAACAGATCTTCAGTAGCATAGAAGGTGGGGTAACACAGCCACACAAAATAAAAAAAGTGTCGGGGTTGGAAGATCAGAGTACCCTATCCCCATGTATTTTGGGCCGCTGAACACGAATCCGGTGTCCGTTTTGGTCCAGCACGTGTACGTTTTTTCCTAACCTCAAAAAACATGTCAAATTTTTTGTGGTATACAAATTTTTTTAAAAATTGATGGATTTTTATAAAACTTGGTAGCTAGGTGTTTTTGAGGTTGCTGATTACGAATATGAAGTTAGATTTTCAAAATTCAAAATGTCGGATCCAAAATGGCGGATGAAATATTTCGAAATTAATGATTTTTTAGAAATTTTCGTAAAAGTTGATGGTTTTTGATAAAACTTGGCACCGAGAAGTTTCTGAGGTCTCTGATTACGAATATGAAGTCAGATTTTCAAAATTCAAAATGGCGATTTTTGCTACAATTATGAGATTGTATGTCAATCTCAGGTTGTCTGGTCACCCTGACCAGACGCCGATACTGCGGTTCCGAGCCGCTGCATCGTAATACGTTTTCTACGTGTGTCTGCCATGACGGCATCAAAGCCATTATCCAGGGACTTAGCCGGATAGCGGACAATCTCCGTTGCCCACCGTCACCGCGTGGAGGTGCCCTGGATGCAGACACTGGTAAGGTATAATAAAATACGACTGCCAGTTGAATCTTGAAAACCCCACTTCAGATTCGCTATCAGCAACCCGAGTAGCTACCAGATACCAAGATTCATAAAAATGCAACAGATTTTCAAATTTTCATCATCCAATTTGATTTTCAAAAAGCTGACTTCATATTCGTAATGAGCTACCTCAGAAATCCCTAGATAACATGTTTCACCGAAATCCATCAATTTTAAAAAAAATTCGTCCGCCATTTTGAATTTTGAAAATTCGAATGCATATTCGTAATCAGAGACCTCAAAAACCCCTAGGTACCAAGTTTTATCAAAAACCATCAACTTTTAAGAAAATTTCTAAAAAATCATCAATTTCTAAATAATTTCATCTGCCATTTGGGGTCCGCCATTTTGAAGTTTGAAAATCTAACTTCATATTCGCAATCAGCAACCTCAAAAACCCCTAGCTACCAAGTTTTATCAAAATCCATCAGTTATTAAAAAAATTTGTATACCACAAAAAATTTGACATGTTTTTTGAGGTTAGGAAAAAAAGTACACGTGCTGGACCAAAACGGACACCGGATTCGTGTTCAGCGGCCCAAAATACATAGGGATAGGGTACTCTGATCTTCCAACCCCGACACTTTTTTTATTTTGTGTGGCTGTGTAATCTATGCGGGGCATTCTTTCTCAACTTTACCACCACGCTGCCCATCTTCAGTTTTAACGAAAATCATTGAAATACCACTTAAAATTTGCAGAAAAATGTCAACTTTTGAATGGCGAGTGGAAAAATTGTCCGTTGTAAATGGTTCACTCTGAATCTCTCAATAAACGGAAAAAAGTCAAGAATATAATTTTTTATCTAACTATAATGTTTGTTTAATTGGACATATTCATTTTGTATAATCACTTCAGAGTCCCCTCCTCATGTCTACGTTGTCATATGAGGCTAAATTAAATTTGAGGTTATAACTTCAAATTTAATTTAGCCTCATATGATTATAATATATATAATATGGCCGTCAAAAGTGACTTAAATTAACTAATTGCGATGTGTTTTCTGTGCAGCATTATTTTCAATAGCGAATGAACTTTCAAGGGTTTCTGGTCTGACCCATTACGTATATAACGCTATACGTTCAAAATTCAAAATTGCGGATGTAATATGGCGGACATGAATTTTAAAAAATAATTGTATTTGGTTGAAATTTATTACTCGGGGGTTTTTGGGGTCGCTGATTACGATCCTGGAGTTTGTTTTCTGCAAATTTTAAGTGGTATTTCAATGATTTTCATTAAAACTGAAGATGGGCAGCGTGGTGGTAAAGTTGAGAAAGAATGCCCCATGCGTAGAAGTTCGTTTTATCTTCTTTTTTCGCATTAGTGCGTTAAAAACGGCACTTTAGTCCAGTTTTAGACATATGGTGTTATAGAAAATTTATTTAAGTCTCTTTAATAAATATAAAATTGACCTTGATCATAATAATTGATTAGTTAGAAACCTAAATTAATTTATAAAGTTAAAGTTTTGTTAAATTAATAAACTTCTGATTATTTGTGAAGTTTCTGATTTGAATTTTAAATTGGAATCGAATTATTGTATTCGTACACGTGTGCTTAGCTTCTAAGTTCTTTCCCCTCGATTCTTAATAATAATTCTTAATAATAATCCATTATTTTATTATATTACTTATATAAATTGCGTGCACAGAGAGAAAAACCAAGCGTTTTTAGTATGGAGCCCTCTATGCTCATTTTGTATGGACGCTCCTGCTTAACCCTTTGAGGGGCACATTATTCATATGGACGGATTTTCTTTACATCTCATGTCTTAATATTTTTGGGGTCGCTGATTACGAATTTTTAAAGTTAGTTTTTAAAAATTCAAAATGACGGATCCAATATGGCGGACAATTTTTTTTTAATAATCGTATTTGCTTGAAAATGTTTACTCGGGGGTTTATGTGGTCGCTGATTACCCAGTAAACGAAAACTAATTGAAATGAATTAAAAAGAATTCACAAAGAGCTTTCGTGAATCCCGCTTTGTGACAAATACGAATTGGAGCCATGATGCAATTTTCCTGAATTCGTGAAACTGTATTGAACTTCCGAACCTTCTATCCGTACCAATTCACTGGACAAATTTTGAGCCTTTAATTTTTTTCAATTCGTTAGCACGAATTCAATGCATTCCTTGGCCATTTCTTTCGAATGCGAATTCGTTTGGACAAATTGGTACATATTGAATTAAATTCAATTGAATATACAAAGAGCTTGAGTGAATCCCGCTTTGTGACAAATACGAATTGGAGCCTACCAAAAATGTTAATTCATTTCAATTCATTTGAATTAGTTTTTTTTTACTGGGTACGAATCTGATGTTAGTTTTTAAAATAAATTCAAAATGGCGGATCTAATATGGCGGATGACTTTTTACAAAACTGATTCAATTGACCTAAAAGTTGGTTCTCGGGTGAACCCCTGTCACTGATTACAAATTCGATGATAGTTTTTTAAAATTCAAAATGGCGTTTGCAATATGATTGATGAGATTTTTCAAAATTTATTCAGATTTACTTGATACTTACTTTCAAGAGTTAATGCTTTTTGGAAATCTAAGATCAATTGGATAATTGTAAAAACTGAGTTGCTGACTAATTAGGAATTTTTGTTGTAAAATTAGCAGGAGAATCTAAATTTAAAAATAGACTAAAGATTGGTAATCAGGGATCCCTAAAACCCCCGAGTGCTAAGTTTCATGTACCTAAAACTAAACAATTTTTAAAAAATCGTCTGCCATATTGGATCAGTCATTTTGAATTTTTAAAAACTGATGTCATATTCGTAACGAGTAACGAGAGCAGTGCGCCAATATTTGAAAGGGGAGTAGGTAAGAATGAAAAGACTTGCGAAGACTGTATGGATTTGTTAGAGCTGTTTCAAAAGTGGGGTGTATCATTGGACAAAGAATTGAAGAAAATAGTAAAAAAGTTTAAACGTGCGAATAAAGAAGATAATGAAATTAAGACAATTAGTGAGAGCTTGGAGAGAATGCAGAGAATGTGGATAAAGTGGGAGTTAGACTGGATAAAAGAATAGGAAGACTTGCGGAGGAAAATGTATGAATTGGAAGAACGTTTTTTGGGAAATGAAGAAAAGGTTAAGAGAAGTGAGAATGCGTCTATGCAGGTGAAAATGGGAGAATTATCGAGGCGAGTGGATGTCATAAAACATAGAAAAGAAAAAATAACGTTGTGATCAGGGGTATGAATCTAAGTACAATGGAGGGTAAAGGAGAGGTGGAAAAAGTATTTGCGTGAGTGAGGGTCAGTGTAAGTGTTAAAATGGTACAAGCGATAGAAATGTGTGAGAATGGTATATACCAAAGTTATGGTTGGTGGAGTTGGGTAGTGAGGAGGAGAAAAAGATGTGATGAGGCTGAAAACGAGGTTGAAAAGAATCGATAAGAATTGATGAGGATAGAACGTGGAGGGAAAGAAGAATTACATGGGCTGTTGAGAGAGAAAACATGGAATGAAAGAAGGAATGGAAGAGTGGTATGAATAAGTAAAAAATGTATAAAATGAACCACGCAATGCTTCAGCATTGTGTGAAGGAAGATGCTGGTAGAGTGGTTGAGGCAAGGATGAATGATAGTAGAAATGGTGAAGAAGAGAAATGAGAGAGAGAAGAAAGTGAGGAGGTTGAAAAGATCAAGAAGGAGTAGAGCAAATGTGGATGGAATGATGAATAGAAGTAGTTTAACAATCAAAAATGTCGAGGTTAAGAGTAAGTGAAAAACCCAGTAAAAAAAAACTAATTCAAATGAATTGAAACGAATTAACATTTTTGGTAGGCTCCAATTCGTATTTGTCACAAAGCGGGATTCACTCAAGCTCTTTGTATATTCAATTGAATTTAATTCAATATGTACCAATTTGTCCAAACGAATTCGCATTCGAAAGAAATGGCCAAGGAATGCATTGAATTCGTGCTAACGAATTGAAAAAAATTAAAGGCTCAAAACTTGTCCAGTGAATTGGTACGGATAGAAGGTTCGGAAGTTCAATACAGTTTCACGAATTCAGGAAAATTGCATCATGGCTCCAATTCGTATTTGTCACAAAGCGGGATTCACGAAAGCTCTTTGTGAATTCTTTTTAATTCATTTCAATTAGTTTTCGTTTACTGGGAAGGTTGGGCGAAATAGGAATGAATTTAGTAAAAGCAATTGGAACTGGAAACGGAAGCCATTCGCGATTTTTGATAGATTAGGGTATTTTTTGTAATGTTAATAAAGAAGCGTATAGATCAAGTGTTTTTTGTAAGTTGTCATAAGACGGTTATGTATTTAATTTGTAAGAAAATTGCATTTGGATTCTCGAAACTTGCTTAATGCAGAGAGAGTAAATAAATTATATACTTTTTTTTACAGATGCTGGTACTGGAGGACTTCGACTTTTAATAGAAGGTCCCAGTGAAGCGATTGTGAAATGCAAAGATAACTATGATGGATCCTGCAGCGTAGAATATGAACCTAGTGAACCAGGAGAATACGATGTCAGTATCAAATTTGCCGACAAAGACATACCCGGATCTCCATTCAAAGTTCCAATAGAATCGCAGGTAAAATTATATTAAATTCTTTTTTCATAGCTACCCTAATACTATTTTTATTACATATTTAAATTTTGAGGAAGAGTAATTATTAATATTATAGACATAAAAGTTTAATAATATTATTTAGAACAATTTAAATATTTTAATAATCTTTGAATTGGAAATTAGAAAGCAATAGATGGAAACAAATAAAACCATTTATTTTCTAGTCAATCGCAAGAGATGTGGTAGCTCACGGGCCTGGAATAGAACCGAATAAAGTACGAGAAGGGGTTCCAGCCAAGTTTATCGTCGACACTTCAAAAGCACCCCCAGCGCAATTGGATGTAAAAGTGAAAACTGATAGGGGCCAAATTGGAAAACCAGAAATCAAAAGTCGTGGTGGTGGAATATACGAGGTGACTTATCAGCCTTCACCAGCTGGTAGCAATGTGCAGGTCGATGTTCTATATGGAGGAGAAAACATCAAAGGAAGTCCTTACAAAGTCAACGTTAATACATCTTGCGATCCTAGCAAAGTTGTTCTTTCTGGACCAGGAGTTGCTCCTGTTTGCACCGCCTCCTTCCCTACCGACTTTGTTGTAGATACATCCAATGCTGGATATGGAGATCTTGAAGTTCAAGTTCTGGTAAGTTTATGTCTTTTGTCCAAATAATTTGCAATGAATACCAGTTTAAAAAAAGTAAACAATTTATTTGCAAATTGGTTTTAATTTTGTTTTATCGAGAATGAAATATTAGTAATAAGATTTTCTGATATTTTAAAACGAAGGCGAAGAAGTAAAGAAATAATTAAAGCAAAAGGATAATTTACTATATTTTATACTACTTTCGTACTTTTTCTTTATTTTTTCCTTATTTCTTTTCAGGGACCAGACCAAGTTCCTCGACGAGTTGGGATTGAAGATCTTGGTGATGGAAAGTATAAGGCAACTTATTTGCCTGATGATTGCGGACGGTACAAGCTGAACGTCAAGTACGGAGGACAAGAAGTTCCGGGAAGTCCAGTTAATGTTCAGAGTGTATCAACTGGTAAGGCAGACCAGTGTAAGATTAAGGAAGGAGTTCAACAAACTTTAGCGCAGGGCGAGGAGTACTGCATCACTGTTGATACTGAAAACGCTGGTCGCGGTGCTGTAACCTGTCGCATACGTTCTACTTCTGGAAGGTAAGTTTATTATTGCAGTTTACAAATTAAATATTTAGTTCTTAGTATTTTCATGACCCATAATGTGAAAATCCACGTGACATACGTCAAAAATCTTTCACTCAAGAGTTTAATACACTAAAGGATTTATCTTCGAAGGCATAGTGGGTTTGATTTATAAAGACTGGCTAAACCCCAAATAAGAAAAATGCACGTTCGGAAAATATTGCCACAACAAATTTTACAAACTGAATCGGAGAGATGTCGCTGTTACCGGATGAATTCTCTAATTCTAAATCTGTTTTTCTCTTTCTACAACATTTTCATCTCCATAATTTCTTCCGTTAAGAAAATTTTTAGTATGAATAGTTGTATAAAAATTTGAAAAAATTCCGCCGCCATATTGGATTCGCCATTTTGAAATTTGAAAAACTGACATAAGATTCGTGATCAGCGACCCCAAAAAACCCCGAGTTTGCAATTTTAGCCCGATTTCATGAATTTTTTAAAATAATTTATTAAATTAAATTAAAATTTTTAAATATTATTATGATGTTACATTTAAATCAGGACGTAACAGTGTGAAAAAGTAGATCCATTGAACAGTAATATTTTGTTGTGAATTGCACCGATTTTTATAGGACAGGATGGCAATTATTGGTTCCACATCAAATCTATAATTTTGACTTTTTATTTTCGTTCTGACGTATGAAGTTTCATAAAAATTCAAATACTTTCTTAAAAGTTGTCCGCCACATTGCTCATTGACTGGTATTAACGCATCTGTCCCCAGCCGAGCGTCCGAAATTAGGGGCCTCGATTGTATTTCCTAGTCAAAATTTTTGACAAAATTTTATTTAAAAAAAATTAATTTAACCGAAAAACATAAATTTTGGCTTCAAAGTAACAAGTAATATTACCATTATGTTACTGTTATAACTCATGTATAATGTTAATAATATTGCATTGCATTATTACACTTATATTACTATTAGTATTTTTCAATATAACTGAATTTGTTTATAATAAACTTTTCTTTTCTCACCTTGAAATTCCATATTTTTTAAGTTTTCATACAAAAGCAACTAAAATATAACCGGTACTTGGCATCTACAAGCATAAAGATATATTATGAATAAATTGCGTAAGGAGCCTGAAAGTGAATCATCTCGGTAGTAGGAAACAGGTAGTATTCCACCGTTCCCTCATTTTTTGTTTAATAACGCTTCCGCATTAGTGAAACAGATATCTTTCATTAACATTATTTATATTCTTATTTATGTTTTGTTAAATGATTCAAAAATTTGTTATTGTAAAAAAAGTTATAAAAATTTAAATATTCGAAAAATGGTTAAAAGTGTTTTTTTAGTTCGTTGCGAACTATTGATTTTCATAAATGTTTTCATTTTAACAAAAAACTAACAATTTTATTTGGAGTTGACGTGGTTTGACCCAATTGCGAAAACGAAAATTTTCCTATTGTTATAATTTTACCTTCAAAAAGATAGAATCTACATACGAAAGGAAAGAAAAATGTCAACTTTAATTATTATAAATGCAGTTCGCATCTTGATATGACAAAAAAAATGGTTCTCTACTTTTCAAAAATAACCAATAATTCCCGTTTTCTTTCCTTCAATTGAAAAGTTCTGATAATGCAAAGAATAATTTTAATTTTTTTTTTGGATTAATTATTTAAAAACAGTGGTATATATAATATATTAACTACATAAATATTTACATCCTAAATTCAATACGTAGGTACTTTTCTTATTACAGAAAGTTTGGCAAAGAATTGACTAACAATTCCAAACATTATGGAAAATATTAGAAAAATAATTTTAAAAAAAAGTCATTTTTGTTATCTTTTTGCATCAAATGACTGATAATTGTGAGCATTGTAGGCCACGTACAAGTGTTAGCAAATATAAATAAACGCATTTGCCCTTCAAGAATGTCATATACTAAAAGAAAATATCGAACTTTCAACATCTTTTTGAAACAACTACAAGAACAGAGTCGATTCCTCTCACAAACGAAGCAGTTAATTTTGCACTAAAGGATAAAAAATGATCAAGTTTTTAAGAAAGACTTTTTGTTTTGTACTCTTCCGTGTAATTTTTCTTGGTGCATCAGGAAGAAGCAATTACACTTTCGGATTAATAAGATTTCTAAAGGAAAAATCAAAACTCCACCAGGTAATGTTTATAATTGATGATCAATTTATTGCAAATGTGGAAACCAATGCTAACGCACAACTCATTCGTGATGTTTCTAAACACTTCCCATCATTGAGTATAAGTTTATATGAAGCACAAGCTAATCTGGAAAAATACTTTTCACTTCATCTGCAAATCCCTAGAAGAACGACGCTGTTTATTTTTATTCTCAATGTATTTGGAAAGGATACAAAATCTCATTTAAACGCTATATTATCAGGATTACAACATTGGTCCCAAAGAGATTCATTGCCCAAGTGTTTAATTAACTTTTCAAAGCAAGGAAAGGTTTACTCTTACGAGGATATGCTAAAATCACTATGGCACAAAGATTGGCTAGACATTTCGGTACTGGAAAATTCGATTTCAAACCAAACATGGCAAACGAAGAATGCGATAACAATTCACAGAATCAATCTTTTTGCAAACAAATATACCAATCAGAAAGTTAAGCCACGAACAAAATGGTTTCCAAATAAACTATTGGATCTTCACGGAAAAACAATAAAATTAATGTTTATGCCTGGCTCTGTTACAAGGTCCGAGAAATACTACATTGGTATAGGAAGATTCAGACGCTACATTGAGCAATCAATGCATTGTACTATAACACTTGACATCAGAAGAGAAAGATCAATCACAGCATCATTTCTGGAAAAAGAAGGATCTGAAACTACAATAAATACGGTCGTGTTAATGTTATCGAATGAAACTATTGTAAGCAACCCAATGCGTACCTTTTCGTTTAATACAGTAAAGGCAGTAATTGCAAATTTAAAAAGTAAAACTGGAAGTGTTGAAGCCTCTGAGGAGCTCATTTACATGATAGTTGCTACAACTATTGCTATTGCTGCTATTAGAATTGTAGCTTTGTTGTTGCAATTTAACAAAAGCACTTGGAACACGTTCAACATCAGTCAAATTATAATGGGAATGTCTGTAGTCAACGAGCCAAAAAAATTAACAGAGAGAATAGTTTTTGGTGCCTTCATGTTGAGCTGCATGGACTACTCCGGTTACTTGTTTTCAGTGGTTTTGGACATAAATTTCCGAGAGGCACATCAAATTTCAACACTCAAAGAACTAGCAAACTCGCCGTTAACGCCAATGTTCGATCCCTCTTTAAATGATTCAATGTTAAAAAGCCCTCTTGCTTATATTCGAAAATTAGCCTTAAAATCAGTAAGGATACCTGATAATGGATTAAACTATCAATGCTTGATGTACTTGTTTAAGAACAGAAACGTTTCTTGAAAATTTACGAATGCGATACGACTTTAGTTTGGAGGAGCTGCATTTCTAACTCGGGCGTGCTGAGCGCCCAAGATGCGGCTATTGCAGTCTCAAGGTTTTGAGTCTCAAATTTTGGGTGTTCAGCGACACCGACATAGGAACGTAGATTTTCCAAATTGAGATCGTAGCACATCAAAACTAGAGTTCCTCCACTTTCCGACGATGGGGATTGCACGGTACTCAACATTTTTTCAGTGTATCTGATTTTCCCCAGTAGGCTTCCTCATTATCAAGTCGTTTCCTTGTTTTTGCTTCGCAATTTTCGGAAGAACCCTTCTTCCATATTCCCACAGAACGGCACCTGAAAGAGACTATGAAAGGGTCGCTGACCATGTGACGTACGCTGACAATTAATCATGCGTAAAATCATTTAAATTCTAATTTCACGAAAACCACATCTCCTCAAACGCTGATACGAAAGAAAGGTACAAGAGACTTGACAAGAAACGAGACAGGCCCATAAGAAGAAAGACAGACCAACGACTCTATATTCTAAAAATGCTTTTCCTACACATGACAAATTAGGCAGAGTAAGTAACGAAACACTTCGTAACAAATCCAGAGAAACCTGACTTAAGACCAATGAGATCAATCACTCCAGCCAATGTTGTTTCCGTAGAACAACTTTCAACTAATTTTAGAATAAAAGATGTGAGGCTAATAGGAGTGAGATTCTTATGTGAGGTAAATCCGTTCTTGCAAGTTTTGTCTATGAACAGAACCTTCATTCCCCTTTATGGTTTTAGGACAGAAAGGGGTACTGTTTATGCCACACCCGTTAGAGTGGCTTATGCGACCACGTCTGAGAAAAAGTGAATTATGACCAAAAAATCGATTTTTGGATTTCAGACGAGGTCGCATATAGTAAGTATACCTAAACGGTGACTGACCTAAGTTCGAGTCTGCACTAAACAATTGTATATAGGTTTAATATTTTCTATTTCTTCGTGAAACTGTTTATAATTGTTCTGCACAGACGCAAATTTAGGTAAATCCTGGTTTAGGTATCATCATAACTTTCCTTACGTTAAGGTGTGCTCTGATCCTAGAACCACAAATCTTCTTTGTGAAGCTGTAATAAATCATGTTTTTTATAAAAATTGAAAACGAATGAGAGCAAAATTGCATTAGAATTTAAGTATTTAAAATTAAATGTTAATTTAATAATTTCTGTTTAATTACTTATTCTAGAAAAAATTATAGAAGTAAATTAAGATATATAAATTATGAAAGCATTTAGCGAATGTCTCATAGAATGCTTAATATGTCAAACAGATATTCTTGTCGAGTGGAGAACTCTAATTATTGCCTGACAATAGAAAGACAGCTGCCAATATTCAAAGACAGAGTGTCAGTTATTACTAATTCATTACCACTCGTGTATTCTGTCATGGGTAACAAATATGACAGTAATGATTTAAGTCTCTTTAGTAATTGCAATAGAGATAAGCACTAATATTCAGTTTTTTCTAAATTTAATAAAAAATTATTTTTATTACATCTTTATCTATAATACATTGCATTATAACTAAATTAAAAATTCCACTAATGTAGAATATATTTTCGAAATGATAGTAACTTTTATTATATAAGAAAACTAAGAGAGGAGAATAATTTTTTATCGTTGTTTTCCAATCGTAATATTTCCGGAATGTAGTTTCTATAATATAACTTGGAATGTTGGACATGATCTAAATTTGTATTAAATAAAACAGGCAGAGTCTCCAACCAAGTATTTATAGCATTACGAAAAATTCGACGTGACTTTTCTAGTGACTATAAGTAACTATATGATTTCAGATCGGGCGACAACAAAAACGTGCTCCTATATGCTCGGCAAACTATTAATAGAGCTATAATATTTCCTATTAGCTACTAAATCTCCTGTTACATTTTTTATATTACATACACTCAGTAATAGGAGATAAATATCTTTTCTATCTTTCAATAATTTATTTGTGCTCTTATATTTTAATCTATTTAACATAGATTTATTATGATATTGGGTTAGATATTGGGTTTAGTAGCATTTGGTAAAATTTCCTTATATGTTACAATGGCCAACAAAATTTTATTTTCAATAATAATGTTACAACCGATTTTTGCCATAGAATCCGAATCTGGTCTTGATAATATTTAATTAGCTCTATGAGAAATTTCATTTCAAATGTGCCAAAGAATGCAATTTTAGTATTTTTTGAACGTTTTTAGAAAAATAAAACAACAGAATAAACATGTCTGCGTTAAACGAAATGGAACCTTGAACATTAACCTCTAAGATGGAAAAATAAAAAACTAGATATTGATTTTAATGCAACACATTATATACTGCTTAAATATATAGATTTATTTATTTTTAGCAAAAAGTAATGTTTCAAATCTATAAAAAAGTATTTTGCTCTAAAAAATGAAAACAAAATTTTTTTTAGAAACAACATTCTATTTTTAAGTTCATACCTATTTATTATTGCATTCTGTTAATGATGACTTGTCTCAATCATCAAACTTTCGAGAACCCTTCATCCTAAAGTTATTTTCATTTCTTATTTTTCATTATTTCACATACATTCTCAATTAGCTTCCCAGTTAAAAATGGATATGTCTCTGCAGTAACGTAATGAAGACTCCTTATTTTATGGTTATCGAGAAAAGGACCGAAATATCTCACCATCAACAGCTTTTCACAACGACGTATGTTAAAGTAAATAGAAGAAGTATTTCTTTTTCTATTAACATGTCCCTCCGTCTTGCAATTTTTTCACTTTACTAATACCTAATATTCTTAAGAAAAACTTTATTTATTTCTCTTTCCAAAGAAGCTAAAAATATACCTGAATCGACAGTATATGTTTGCACTTCTAAGTAATATTTTCACATTTGTTTTTAAAATTAATAATTTTGCAGACAAGATATTTGCATTCTTTTATGCATGTAAAATTACATTTGTGTTCCATGTATACAATTGTTGAATTTCTTTTTCGTTTATATGCACTACGCCCGTTTTGGCGTTTCCTTGTGAAAATGAGATCCCATGATGGTTTAGTAAAACTAAATAAGTAAACAAAATAATTTTTTAATATTATATTTTTTATAAGAACCTCGCAGGATTTACATTTGTTTTGACTCCCCTTCGATTTTTCTTTAACCCTTTCCGTGCCTCCGGGACATATATGACCCACTTAGAAAATTTTATGTAATTCTTATAAAAGTCAAACAATTAATTTCCGGTAAATTGCTTTTTATTCTGAATGGATGCTGCTACAATTAAAATAATAATATATTACAATAAGTAGTAATATTTATTTTAAACAATACCTTAAAACTTGTTAATCGGGGGTTTTCAGGGTTGTCATTTTGAATTTCGTAATCAGTGACCCTGAAAACCCCCGAGTAACAAATTTTATGCAAATTTGAGCAATTTTCAAAAAATGTGCGCCATATTGGATCCGCCATTTTAAATTTTGAAAATTTTGAAATTCTGACCTTAGATTCGTAATCAGCGATCCCAAAAACCCCCGAGAAATAAGTTTCAATAAAATTTACTGTCTGGGTTAACTTTGGGATTTCGAAGTTCTTGTTCAGAATATCAAGAACGGCTATATCTTAATGTTACAGAAAAATCGACTGAGAGCAAAAACGAATGAAAATCCTATGGGGTCCCTTATTTTTAGATAAAAATAAATAACTAAATATCCTTTCGTTCATGTTGCATAATATTCTTGTATCCATTTTATAAACACAGGGGTCAAAAACATGATATTTAAAATTTTGAATTCTTAAAATGCAATATCATCTTGGTTTAAAATCTTAAAAACATCACAAATGTTTTTAATAAAACTATGGAAAAATAATATATGTGAACCTTATCAATATAAAAACTATAAAACATCTCAAAATGTTTTTAAAAATTTATTTTATGTTTCATAATGTTTTGTATCTTTAGATTGTAGAGTAATAGAGCAATGCCATGGTAAGGGATCATGGAAATCTCCATCTATTGGGGGATTAAGATGAAACTGTAGGAATTTGTTTTTTTTAAATGTAACAAAAAAAATCCTAATAAACGTGGGAGACATTCGACTTTAAAATTCTTCAGCTTGCCATATTAAAAAAAGTCTATATTTTTATCGGTAAAAGATATTAAGGGGTAATACTACCTTGTAGGCAGTAAAAATAGGGTCATTTTTCTGATTTTTTTTGTAATAAAAACTACAAAATTTATTAATGTTTGGATATTTATATATAAAAATAAATATCTTAAAGTATGTAAAAATATATTAAAACCTTTTTTTAAAAATAAAATTGGCGGCTCATTGGCATTCGGAATAGAAAGAAATTTACCGAAAATTAATTGGTTAACTTTTATAAGAATAACATGCAGAACCCTCGGAGAAAAGGAGTTTCAATTAGTCAGCTACTGTGCCGTCATTTTATATTTTTACATACTTTAAGATATGTATTTTTATATGTAAAAACCGAAACATTAATAAATTCTATAGGGATGAGTGGGGCAAAGGCGCTAGGTTTACATTTATCGATGTATATTTTTTAAATAAAGCAATTAATTTATGCGGCCTTTGTTTTTCATTATTCTAAAACTAATCAACAAGAAATTTTAATAGTTGTTGTTTAGTATATTATAATTATAAATACATTATTTCATGAAATTTAAAAACAATGCAAAAAATGTCTTTGCCCCACACGCTGGGGCAGCGACGTTTTCGCTTATATTTCTAAAAGAAAGCATTTATAAGCCTTAAAAAAATTAACAAGTGATATTTATTAGTATAATATTTACGAAACATAAGGTTAATAACATATTATTAAAAGAATTAAACTATTTAAATAAAAAATAAAAACTTTTAGTGATTTTAACCTAATATTGTGAATTAATACATAGAAAATTCGAATATTCAATTGTTTTTAACCAAATTATGTTCAATATTGTCTTTGCCCCACGTAACAAACTTTTTTTTTACTTTAAATTTAAAATATTTAGATACAAAATTAAACTAAAACACCACGCCAGTTGTGTAGAGAAATATTTAATTTATTTACATGTTACGTTTTTAAAAATTAAATACTTAAACTTATGTTTTAAAAAATAAAAGTTTGTTTAGTAAAATTATCATTTTATTTTTGCAAAACAATTTTTTTGTTATATTTCTTAAAATATTTGATATTTTTAGGTTTTTTTTTAATCAATTGGTCTGATTGCATTGCAACTTAATTTTTAATACCAATTGGAATTGACAGAAAATAAAGGAGATATTTTAAAAAACGTCTTTGCCCCGCATAGCGCCTTTTCCCCACTCTCCCCTACCTTTTTTACAAAAAAATAAAAAAATGACCCTACTTTTACTGCATACATTTATTATCCATTAAGATGAATTTTTTAAAATTTTTATAAAAATTAATCATTTTTTCACACATATAAGCGTAATAAATTTTTCGACTGTTATTTATTTTAGTTAGAAATTATAAATCTTTTGTTTATCCATTATTGTAAATGGTTCCTTTTAATCCTTGCTCTTGCAGTAGTAAAAGTCACTTTCGTTCAGACAAATATTTAAAATTTCTCGTTACTTAGGATAGTTTTTACCGCTCTCTAATGCTGTCATAAGTCAGTTTATTTAGTCCTTGTGTCAATATAGTGGAAACACTATATTAGTCTTTAAAGTTTATATTGACTGTTAGTGCCGTGTTGGTGTTTATAACTCTGTCACGATACAGACATGTCTATTTACATTTGCAATTAAAGGTAAATATTTTTTGTTCTACTAATTCCATTTACCTGGAACAAAAAGTATTATACTTTGCACCATATAGGGATGTCAAAGTTGATGTGATTTTTTCATTCAAGATTTGTGTAAACGCATCGACTTTGACGTCTTCTTAAATGTGTCTAGTAGTTAAAATTGTAGTTCACCTATAATCTCGCCCTCGCCACATCACCTATTTTATGCCCTTAGTACGAAAATTATTGTTTCTTAATAAATGTACTACTTTGTAATACTTAAAACGGAATAACAAATAGTAATTATTTTTCTTCCTGTTTTAAAATGTTATGTCTGTTATTTATTTTTGAGTATATAACTATGTATTAGTTTCCCAGTTTTAGTTATGTGGATTTGTTATTTATTTCTCGATTGTAAAACTTAATTTTCTGTTACAGTGAAGATGTTGACATAGACATTCAAGATAATGGAGATGGAACTGTCGATATTTACTATACAGTAGCGGATGCCGGTGAATATACCTTGAGCATCAAATTCGGTGGTCAACCTATTCCGGAAGGCTTCTACACTTTCACGGTAAGAAAAGTAATTTTTTAAATAGAAAAGTGTCTTGACATAAAAAATAAATCCAAAAATGACTCTTTTAATAGGTTAACAAAAAAATAACGTCTTTCAAAAATAGGATTACAATTTAATGTATGAACTCAAGTCAAAAAACTGCTACTTCTTTACTTTATAACGCTAATTTATTATAACATTTAACCCCTTGGCTGTCGACAAGATGTTCTGCAGTTTTCGAAAAGCCAGGGCTTCTCGAAGAGCCTGGCAAAAAATTGAAAAATAATACAATTAGAACTGAGCTTTTTATAAATATATAGAACATCATAACATTATTTTAATAGATGCCAATAAATGGTTGACTAAAAGTGTATTCTTAAGTAACTTAAGCGAAGTATGTTCCTTAATGATAATGACTGGACAGTTTTTGAATCCAAATTCATATTTCGATTGTGCCAAGAGTTTTTGGCTAGAGACTTTAAAAAATCTGAAATTCATTTAATTGCACTTTGTTATGTTTTATCGTTAGTAGAGAACCAGCTTTCCTGAAGTCATGTATGGTTAATATTTCAAGAAACTGACTAACCTGTCTCTAAGACGAAATTCTTATTACGATTGTGACCAAATCCTCTGGTCAGTGACTTGACAGAATTTCTAAAAGTACACTTGTCTAGTTATACTGTTCAGTCATTTTTCGGTGATTAGACAAATTATCTTGTCTGGTAAAATTTGATACCAACATTACAGTTACTGAAAAAACCAGTATTACTGGGCAGATTTCTATCCAGGTATGTAATGTAGTAAATGGATGAATTCTTATACAGAATAAATCTGTGTTTATCGATAATTATGCTAACACGAAAGCTTCCATAGAAAGATTTACAAATATATTTTCTTTCTTTGCAAAAGGTAGCCTTGTGTCTTTTTCTGTCTTAAAAAATTAATTATATTACTTCAGTACTGCCGTACGAAGCGAAGTAAAAAAGTCTATAACTTTCATTCGTTTTAGGCTGATTTTCAGAGGTCATAGCGTACCCAGTAAAAAGAAGTATTCAGTACAACACTTTTTGTTTGCCCGATTACTTTTCTCTTTTTGATATTAAAAATAGATTTCATGGGTAAATTTATATCATGGGTATTTTAGAACCTGAAATAAAATTCTTTGCAGAAATTCAATTATGTTCAAAAATTTTTTTAAATTCTCTTAAAAATTTGAATTATCTTTATAAATAATAAAATTCTTCTCCGAAACTTAATTATTTTCAAAAATTGTAACAAAATTCTTGTAAAATTCAATTATTTAGAGAAATAACAAACAAATTGTATTTAATAAATTGAGGCCTTGGATCGAATAACTCGCCCGACGCTCGAAGGCACGCGCTAATACCAGTCGGGTAGCAGTGAGTGGCCCAGAGGCGCTCACTGCTCACTGACTGGCAGTTGTGCGTTCCTCCGAGCGTCGGGCGAGTTATTGGATCCAAGGCCACAATTAAAGAAATTTTTCGAAAGAATTCAATTATTTTCTAAAAATTTTAATAAAATTCAAGAATTAAATGTTTAATTTCAATTATTAAGAAACACGATTATTGTAAAAAACTTGAAATAAATTGTTTATATAAAATTCAATTAGTTTGAAAATTTTCAATTAAAATTATTAAAGAAACTCCAATATTTTAAAAAAATTGAAAGAAATTCTTCAAAAGAAATTAATTAGCATTATCAAAAATTTTAATAAAATTATTCCGAAAAATTCAATTCTTTTCATAAATAATATAATTCTTCTAAAAAATTCAATTATTACCAAATTGTTTAATAAAATTCTTCGCAAGAATTCATTGATTTACCAATTTTTTCGCAATAATTCAATTATTTTCATAAATAATACACAATTTTTACAGAGATTCAATTATTTTCGTAAATAATAAATTTTTTTTTAGGAATTCAATTATTTTCATAAATAATAAAATTTTCAGAGGAATTTAATTATTTTCAAAGACAATTTTTTCATCAAATTTTTCAAAAAAAATTAATTATTTCAAATGATTTTTATAAAATTCTTCATTAGAATTCAATCATTTAAAAAAAATTAATAAAGTTCTTCTTAAGAATTAAATTATTTATTATTGAAAATTTTAATAAAATTTGTTGCAAAAAAAATTAAATTTCAATTATTTTCAAAAAATTTCCTCAATTCAATGATTTTTAATATCTATTTTAATAAAATTTTCCAAAAGAATTCAATTATTTAAAAAAATTCAATAAAATTCTATGCAAACATTTAATTATTTTCATAAAATAATAAAAATTTCACAGAAATTCAATTATTTATAAATTTTTTATCAATTTCTTCGCAATAATTCCATTAATTTCATAAATAATAAACATATTTTTTAGGAATTCAATTATTTAAAAATTTGTTGATAAAATTCTTTATGAGAATTCAATTATTTAAAGAAACAATCAATTATTTAATAAGTTATTAGTTTTTGTATTTAAATAATTGAATTCTCGTAGTATTTTCTAATAAAAATTGATTTAAAAATGAATTTCAGTCAAAATTTTAAATAATAATAATTGAATATTAAAAGCATTATAGCATGAATTTAAAAAAATAATTGAATTCTGAAAAGGTTTCAAATTAAAATCTTTAAAAATTTAAATTTTTTATACTTTTAACTAACAATTCTGTAAAATTAATTTTTTTCAAAATGTTTTTGTTTTCAATTTTTTGAAGTTGTTATTTTCTAATATATATTGGATAAGGGGCCCCAAGGTGGCCACCCATCTTTTGATCGACTGTAATTCCTAAACCGTATTATATAACATAATTAATAATATATGCCCTGAAACTGTATCTCCTTAGCTAACTTTTAGCAAAAAATTTTTTTATTTTACTAAGGAAAGTAAAATTTAGGGGACTTCGGAAAAAAACAGCTGCAATTTTGCTTTAAAAAAAGTGGGCCTAAGGTGTTCACCATTCAATAATTCACTGAAACCCATCACGTCTCAATTTTGAGAAAAATGGGGTCAAAGTGTCAAAAAATGGCATTTTTGGCACTTTTTGAAGCACTATAAAAAAAGAACGCGACGTGATAAAAAGCTCAAATATGGCTTAAATGAGAGCTCGAACCATCAACTTTAACATCTAAAAGCAAAAAACCATGTAGAAATAACACAAAGAGGGGAACAATTTTTTACCGCTTGCGTGCCAAACAGATATTATTTTAGCGATCATATAGGGCAAATTGGTAAAAAGTTGTTCCCCACAATTTTGAGTTATTTCTACATGGTTTTTTGCTTTTGGATGTTAAAGTTGAGGGTTCGAGCTCTCATTTAAGCGATACTTGAGCTTCTTATCACGTCGCGTTCTGTTTTTATAGTGCTTCAAAAAGTGCCAAAAATGCCGTTTTTTGACACTTTGACCCCGTTTTTCTGAAAATTGAGACGTGATGGGACAATTTCTCTTACAGATTCGTAATCTACGGCTAAAATCCTGTAAGACTCACTTTCATTTATTCTTTTAGCAAAAAAAACCTTAATTTTGTCGACCAGTGTAATTTTTCATTTTAGGTCCGTGAAGTCCGTATTTTTAAATACTTTCATTGGTTTGAGCCCTGTTTTTTTCGAAAAATATTAGAATTATTATATTTATTAAAACTCCATTTTTACGTTCCGAATAACTCACATTTTTAAATTGCGATGTGAACTGTGCCCATGAAACCACTATTTAATCACAGAAAGAGAAAAGTATTCGGGGCGAGCAAAAAGCATCCTAATACGGTGTGATATCAAAATCGTATTAAGAGTTTGCTTACTCTCAATACAAAACGACTGAGCTGAATAATTTTTTCTATACAGGGGTTGGCAAGGAAATGGAATGGTTCCTCAGTTCTTATATTTGGATTCTTTCACTCACTTTATAAAAAATTTCGAAATGTACATGTTTACATTGTCACTTGTTTCTTATTATTTGAACCAATGCTAATATGCACGAATAGCAAAATTCTCAACTGATGTTAAATCTGTTGCATTTTGTTCTGACACCACTTTCGAATGTTAAAGTGACACATTTTTCCTGAATAAAAAAGAAAAAGGAGCTTTTGCTTTCCTGTGAAAGTAAAGAGTATTTTTAAAAAATAAAAGGGGGAACAGTACGAGTGAAAAAAAGGAAAATTTTCATGGGTATCAGCTTTTTTCTAATGGTAAAGTATCATTTTCTTCGTCGACGATCCGGGTAGGTGGGGGAGTGAAGTGTAGCTAACTATAGAGGCAACACGTTTATCGTTGAGGACATTGTCGCGAACCCTCCGACGACACAGTTCACTCCGAAAGCTCATCGGGACCACGTCAACCAATTCCATAAACAAGCATTACCAATAAACAAGTAAGTGGTGTCATCGTCATCTCCTGCTTTATAACGCAATCGTCATCTACTGTGACATCCCTCCTCACAGAGCGCCATCCGCGAAAGACTTCTGCCAAAGTTCGTAACATCAAGAGCCCCTTCACTGGACACCTCCCACCCTTTCTGAATCCTTCTTCTTATTCGCTACTCGACTCCATCTCTTGTCGACTTTTATCAACGAAATCATACCGCGAAGCTGTTTCTGGCACTTTAACCCCTATTTCCGGTTGAGGAGTCTCTTTCCGGTCGCTAGCTCCGAATTTATATTTTGTGTCCCTTTCGGATGGAGTGATGATTGACCTAAGCGATCGTCGTATTAATGCTTTCGAAACCAGGTCTTTTCGGAATCTTTCTTTCTTTTCGCATTTTTAATGAAATTTTTTAATTCTGCTGTCCAAAGTAAAAACTTAGTAACCGTATTTTCCGTAAGGTTGTGATTTGTTTATAACCTAAGTGAACTTCGACCATACGGAAAATACGGTTACTAGGTTTTCACTTTAGACAACAATCTTTTAATTTTGTTAGTGAGTATTTTTATTTTTAATGCGAGTTAACAGTGCTTTGCTTAAATGAACTCGACTATCGAATTAAGATTGAATTTTTTTTCTATAAA